GTTATGTATTAGTTCACGTTATACACTGCAATGTAATGAGATAGTGGAATTCTACTGGCAACTTTGGTATTGTTCATGCTTAAGTAAAACAAACTAAAGGACAGCCTTCCCCTAGAAATAAGGACTTTGCTTCTTAGAATCTTAGAGCTGTCCATGAAGGATAGAAGATACCCCTGGACAACTGAGATAATACTAGCATCCTAGCACCTTTAACACATCTTTGAAACCCTCCCAGCGTTGTCTGGCATCATAGATAAGTATCTATAGCAAGACTGACTCCAGGGACATCTGGATCAATAGACAAACAGCAAGAATGCTGCAGAAATATAGTTGCTTTTGCACAAAAGGAAAAGAACAAAAAAAATAAAGTTAGTCCATCGGCAGCAGCATTGAATAATAACCCTAGATTAAGGGAAACAAGGGTGCAGAGATGTCCAAGGCGGGGCAGAAGAGAAAAGTTTTGAAGCAATGGATCTCAAGGAATCGGAAACTGCTGTAATTATTGTGGACAACAAGGCTATTGGAAATGGGAGTACTTGGTATGACCAAAAAAAAAAAAAAAGTCTCCCAAAAGGACCTCTGAATCCTATGGTGCAATCTTTCCCTGCTCTATGCAACACGGGCAGCTACATTTCACCCAGGATTGACAGTTAGCAGGGACCTATTGTGCAGTCACTATAGGAGCCTCTGAATATGAAATATTTTCCCCGTCTTTTCAGAATTTGGTCTGAAATCTTTTGACCAATGAACATAATTACCCCTGTCTAATACATACAGGGGATAGTTTTTCTACCTTAAGTCAGTACCCCTATTCATCTGGACTTTCAAGACCTTTCAGCATTTACCTGGGGAAAGATACAGCTAACATGGACAAAGCCTCCCTCAGGGCTTCACTGGGTCCTCCACTATTGTTCTAAAATTTTAGTAAAAGTTTTACAGGATGTTGTGTTTAAAAAACGGATCTGTTTTTGATACAATATGTTGATCATTTGTTAGTAGCCATGGAATCTTGTATAGCTGACACCTGTACCTTATGTTAAGCAATGTAATAAGCTGAACCCTGCAACTCTACTCCCTTTACCTGGGGAAGGAGCACCACATCATGATTGTGCAGCAATAACCTGTGAAGCTGGGGAAAAAAAAAAAAACCCAAACCCGCAAGAATATTCTAATGGATGTGCTATTTCCAGATCCTGATCTTGAACTATGTGTAGACAGGTCCTCATATTATCTGAATGGTAACCAAATTACAGGTTATTCAGTAACTACCAAAGATAAGGTAGTGGAAGCTTCACCACTCAGCCTGAAGCTGAGTGTGCAAACAGCAGAATTGATTGTGTTAACAAAGAGTTGCCAGCTGTCCAAAGAAAAGACTATAAATACACCGATTCTCTGTTTGCATTTGGAGTCTGCCACACCACTGGACAGTTATGGAAGCAATGAGGGTTTATAACTTCTAGTGGGAGTAAATACTGAAGTGTTAAAAGCTAAACAATTGCCAAAGAAACTGGCTATCATTCATCAGCCAGCCCATACTGGCGAAAGGACAGAAGAAGGAATAAGAAATGATCTAGAGAAGTTTTACTAGGATTAGTAATTGGTAGTGTGGGTGTTAGTGATTAGTCAAATCATGTTGTACCTGAATGCTTTAAAGGTATAAGAGCCCTATGTAGAACCACATTCGGAGTGCCCCAATTTGGCTGGGATACCACATGCACATGAATAAGTATTTATTCTTTTAATTCTGTACTTTGCATCCCAGCCTTTCTCCTTGGTTGGCATGGGCCAGTTGCAATTTTTTGTAACAGTATACAGTCTAGATTTTATAGAACAAATACAAAACTTTAGTTCATAGAAACTTCAAATGCTTGTTTTTAACTTTATGAAGCAGAAATACTTGTTTCTTTAAGCTTCTTGAGAGGCCATGGGAGTTTATGCTTGTGTTGACCAAGAACCACAGAATTGTGTGTTACTTCTGGTGCACTTGATGCCGTTTCAGTTCTCCTCCACTGCTGAAGCCTGAAATCTATTAGTTCTTTAGCATCTTATTGGTGCATTGGTAAACAAAGATGTATAAGAAATATTCAGTAATATATATACTTTTTAAAGTTGTTAAAGAGTAGTTGTAGTAGGAAGCTGTTTGTGGGAAGGGAAATATGTATGCTGGGAAATAACTGTTCTCTTCCAAGTCAAAATATCATGAAAACCTCACTAACTCATTCTACTGCAGGCTTTAAAAACTCAAACTGTATGCTTTCTACTTTGTATGTGAATTAATGCATGTTCTGGACTTGGAGTGAAATAGTTAAGGAAACACACTGCATTCCACTGAAACACTTTTTGTGACTTTTTATTGCAGACTAGTTCATAGGTAGGTCTCACTTTGCTGGAGAATTCCCTTGTGAGAATGAAGTAATTATCTGCTATCACTTTCTTCCCTGGGATTGTGACTTTGGGTACCAAATTGCTTGGTATGTGTTAAGTTTGTTGGGGAAGATGGGCATCTCCGAGTTATTGGTAGAAATGAGTCAGGAGGAAAAAATACATACAGTTAAGCACAGATTGAAATAATCAAATTTTTTTTTTGATTGAAACAAATTTAGATTATCTAGCTATCTGACCTTTGACAACTGGTTTAGGATTGAATCTTTTGCTTATGTCAGTGATCATAGCTCTAAATTTCTCTATCTACTGAGTGAACTATGACCAGACAAAACTCCTCTGTTCAACTGTCATTTGGACCTGCTGGTTCTAGAACTTCATCATCCCTTCTCCAGCACCAAGCATAGAGGTTACTGTTCCTCAATCTGGTCTCCAGTCCAGCTAGACTTGTATTATGTTTCTGATAATGATGATGAGAAGAAAGCACGTGAACATAAGATTGCCTGTAGGATGACCATTAAAGAATCGCCTCCCTGGCCACTGAAGAAATGTGTGTACTGTTTCCTTCAGTGTTAATGTAGAGGTGCTCAGGGTGGTTCTTGAAAGGTCTAAATCCCACTGGAATGGGGTCTGTCTGTGAAGATATGCCAGAGGAAGCAAAGCTGTTCTGCTTTCAACATGAAAGGCAGTATATTTTTGAATAACAGAACTTTGTGGTATATTATTAACGGGTTATTAAACAACAACTTCTTATGAAGCAGTTCAGTTTTTATTACCTTGCTTGTCTTCCAGCAGATCTTGAAGAGAACCAAGTATTTTGTTCAGAAAGACTGCCTTTCATTCATTTTAGAGACTGTAAGTGTTTCCAGCTGTCTGTGTGTTTGCTTTAGCAAATCTTCTGGGGCTAATGAGCAATTAGAAATTCATTAAGCCTGGAGAAATATCAGGTCACATTACATGCTACTATTTAGCTGAGCAGCAATTCTGCTGAGTTGGGTGGGAAAGTGGATACACCTGACTGCTTGTTTCTACAGCTTTATAGGCTTTAAATACGAGGCATCAAGTCCTAGCTATAGATCCTTGTGGTAGAGAGTCCTTAAATCTGTGGTGGGTACTACAGGCAGTGTACAGCGAATGCCTGTGAACAGTGTGTGAATCACACTGAAAGCAGAGTATCTAGTTTGCCAGCTGAAGGGTGGTAGGCATGTTTCTGGAATCCTGTCTGCCTACTTGAGACTCCGTTAGAAAGGCCTTCAATATGAAACAAAGGATCCTCCTAATATTTTGGAGTGAACATTTTAAAGAAACTTATTTTTTTGAAAATATTCAACTGGAATACCGTCTTCTCACTGGACATTAAAAATAGGAAGTTATTCACACTGCACATGCAATCTCTTCTGGGAGAACTTCTATGACAGGTCTCGGACAAGATCCTGCACCATATACTGTTTTTTAAAAAACAGTAGACTTCAGTCTGTGCAGCTGTTTCAATTGTTTTTTTTTCCACAGTGCCCAGAGGGAAAATTTGACATACTTTGTCTTTACTTGTGAATAATATGATAAATGACTAGTGTGTGTGGGAAAAACTGAACAATAATGCACTCTGTGCAGAATCACTGAAACCCTTCTGAACCATGATGCTACTTTAATATGTCAATATAAAAAAAAAAATTGCTGAGAAACCCTACTTTCCAGTTATCTTTTCCTTTTAAAACTGGTACTCTTGGTCTTCTGATGGCTTCAGTCCACTCTGAGACATCTGTGGTTTTTTTATAATTGTGGCTTTAGTATTTCTGACTTAATATGGAACAGATTAGTTAAGTTTTAGAAGAATTAAGAGGAAGGGAAGGAATAATAGCAGTTTTGCTGTCATTCCTAATATGAATGTGACTTGATTTCAACATCCTTACAACGCTGATAACTCACTCATGGATGTGAGTATGCTTCTTCCAGGTGGGCTTCTCTGAGCTAATCTGTCAGTGGATATGCCTCAGATCTCAACCTCTATGGTGTGACGAGGCTGTGTCATTACAACCTGATCTGTGTAAACCCAGAGAACTAACACTCAAGTCCTGGAGGCTAAAATGGGACTGAAACTAGCCTGTTCTAATATAAATGGGTGACAGGCTGAGATTGAAAGTTTTCTCAAAGGCTGGATTCTTGACGTGCAAAGCCTTGTTGGCGCCTTTAGGTATTAACATATTTTTCTACTACAAATTATGCATGGTCTCTCTATGGGCATCAGATAATCTTTACTGATGTAGGTCAGAAGCTTAGTCACTGACATGCTGTTGCCTTGATAAATTTGCTTAGAAGCATCTAAGCAAAACACATGATGGAATCTGTCACTTTTTAAATAATTTGTTCGTACTGGTAAAATAATAATAGGTGTCATAATTCTGTTAAGCTGACAAAGTTCAACTCCCATATTTAAAAGGCCACAAGCCTGACAATCCCTTAAATCAGAGTTTCTAGACACCACACTTCTAAATTTGGTCACTTACCCACTGTCATTTTGTTTCCAAAATCTGAATAAAATGTACCACTCAGTTTTCAAAATTGTTAGTGGAAACAACATGTGTATAAAATTGTCTCTTAATTTCATGATGAGTTACATATCAAAGTTGTGTTTCCTCTCTGGTGTCTTGTCCCACTGTATTGCAGAAGCTGTCTTTTCGGCTGGGTGCAGTATTTGGAACATAAGCCAATGGATCAGGTCGGATCAAGTATCTATAAAAAAAAAATTATAACTCTTATTAAAGACTTGGCGTGAGCAAGGATAAAGTAAATGCATACAGTTGTAATCTTGAAAAGATCTGAGCAAGACTTAGAGACTTATTTTGAAAGTGCTTAGTCTAGTTCCTATTGGGTAACTTGGACACTTGGGTAACACCACTCACTTCAGATGCTAATAATAAAGCTTTTTCACATTTTGTCTGCCTAGACATCATCTGTATGTACTAGGCACAGCTAAACCTTAATTTTGACTGACAGCTCCTTTGTCAGTAACTGTATTTCTTTATGCATCTCCTTTATTCATTATGACTTAAAGAAGGGACAAGCAGTCCACAGAGTCATTTCTAAAAGAATTTTGTGAGAAAACAATGGGTAATTCTTGTCACTACACTCAACAAATAAAAAGCCTCATGATGATAATCTTGGTATAGGCTGACAGTCTGGAGATGTACCCTTATTCTAAGAACTTCTAGTAGATCTGAATACTTGAGGAAAATACCTCATGAGGTTTGAATCTAAGTTTGAGATGTTTAAAATAACTGCTTTTCTTAGGATAAGGATGGAAGAGGTTCCCATTAATTTGTAAGTGTAAACTCTGCACTGTTTTGTCAGCTGTCTCAAGTGACAAACTATCTGATCTGAGACAGCTTTTTGGGACTGATGCAGTAGCAGCTTTGTGCTGCTGCAGAACTAACATTTCAGTGTTCTGAACAGTGTTCTGAATCAGTGCTTTCCAGCACCACTGTGCTCCTAAAGAGAAGACAGACCACTAGATTCAATCCCAGTATCTTAAACTTGTCCAAAGATAAGCAGTACTGTTGAAGCTACTGGAAACTTTATTTCAAATCCTGGTTTTGAACATGTTTGTTTTTTTTGCAAAGAAAGAAAAATGAAATGTGGGAAAATGAAATGTGAAAGAATCCTTTCTCTCGTATTCTCAGAAATCTTGGTGCCGCATGTTTGTCCATCTCCTCCTCATCAGTCAAATGAAAATGATTAAATATCCAAATAGAGATCGTGTGCACGCTGTCTGGTGCTTATAAGGATTTACTGTATTACTTTGCAGTGGCCCTGAAGAAAGTTTCTCTTTTTACTGGCCATGAACTTCTACCATTCAGTATAATGAGTATGTTTTGCCCCAGAATTAATTAAAACACCCTGCAAAATTCTTCAACAAAATGCGAAATGGAAAATCCTCATTAACTGAACTAACATGTTCTGTAAGTGTATGACCAATCACTGTCATATACAGCAGCTCTGTGGGAAATCTGTTTTCAGCTTATTTAGTAACGGGCCGTTCTTGGCTCCTGAAGGATGCCTATAGGGCATCATGCTCCTCCTCAAAGCATGGGCTTCTGAGTCTGTGGGGCCTTGGCTTTATGGTGGATACCTAGGAGAATTGCCTGATCTTCATGATTTAGAAACACCACCTGCCTCTTGCTTTGTTAATGTTTCTCCTTCTGTCAGGGCTAAAGTAGAATAGCAGTATTTTCTCTCTCTGAGTTTGTTGCTACAAATAGCCTGAACTTGTGTAAGAAAACAGTTGACTTAAATATGGAATTAAAAAAATCTACTTGTACTGTTCCTATCTAGATCATGTTCTCCTGGTATCCGTTTGTTTAAAGTCAGACGTATTACCCTCTATTTATAACATCTGATATTTGTTTTCTCCAGAACAATCTATTTGTTTTGCTGATCCAGCCAATGAGACTGAGGAGTAGTGGAAGAGTCTGCTCTATTCTGTTCATCAAATCCAAATGAAGCATGTTTAAACACATGAAAAAAATCTTACTTTTCTTGCCTTTTTTTTTTTGGAATAAGTTTTCTTAGATTTGGGGGGGAAATCCAGGTGTTTCTGTATTTCTTTTTTTTTCTTTAGAGTAAACTAAAGACTTGTCCCTGAAATACATAATTCACAAGTTCTAAATCACAAATAATTCTGCAGTAAGTAAATCGCAGCACCCCTTAAGTAAAAATGAACAAGACTGTTACAATTTTATCAAGGTTTATCACTGTAAGTAGCCCAAATATATGACTAGAGCCTTGAGGGTTTGTAACTGGCCTGATGTCACAGCTGCCAAATCTCAGTGGCCACCTTCCTCCCTTAAGCATATCTGGAGCAGTACTGCATGGGCAATTCCTATGTGTGATCTTTGGATGTTACTGCAGATTGCTGAAATTTGGAACTCCCAGTTGCAACTCTTGGAACTGAAACTGCACTTCTGCATTTGATGTTTTTATAGGGCATCATCAACACCAACCCAGAGCAAATAAGGAGAGTGTTAATCTCCAGGAAAAAAAAGAACAACCAAACAAAAGATGTCAAAGGAACAAACAGCCAGTAGTGGGGGTTTGGTTTTTGTTTTTTTGGTGTTTTTTTTTTTTAATAAGGAGAGGGCTGCTACTAGCAACAGAATGTATTGTACTAATTCTGGAATGAAAGAACAAGGAGTGTTACTGCAAGATCCATTTGCAAGTACTAAACTCTGATATAGAAAACAAACATCACACTCTGCTGAGAGTCAAAATGTTAAATGTTTTGGTACAAAAATCTCATGGCTATAGAATGAAAACACTGCTGTTCAGTACCTGTTTCTTAAGACAAATAGGCTAGATGAAATATGGAGTTATTAAGGCAAAGTCTGAACATATCACTTGAAATGTAAGTGCTTTTGTTTTAATTGTTCAATAAAGGCAGTGAAATCATTGTCCTTTAAGCTCCATCAGGTCAAGATACTAAACATTAGCTTGCAAAGCTAATGAATGCAAAGACTAACAAGAAAGCCTTTTGAGCAACCAACAGCTGCGAATGCTGCTTTGTGTGCAACCTATCTCTAAAAGCTGAGAACTTCCTCATGTGCTGGTTCAGGGTTGTATGTTGCCTAATATACCCACGATAAAATACAAATTTTGTAGGATCCTAGTGAATGCAAAAGACAAACTTGTATAAGCATGGGAAATCAAAGAATGAAGGTTGCATCTATAGGACTTAAAGTGAATGCATGTTTTGGTTTCTAGCGTAGATATGCACAGAAATATGTGGTTTGGATAAGAATAAGCCATGTTGGCATAAGAGTGCAGCTAAGAAGTGTGATGAAGGAGTAACCATCTGGAGGAAGTCTGCAAAATATATTGAGAAGGGGAGAAAAAAAATATAGGAAGACTAGCCTTCCAGCTTGTCAGCAAGAAGGACAAATAGAAAAAGCTTTTTACCTGCTCTGGGATTTGTGACTAAGAGAACTGTAGAAAGAGAACAACTTCTTTGTTGCCTCTCCACTAATAATCCCCCATTGCATAAGGGTGAACTGGCTGCCTAGTCAAGAGAACTATAATCACATAGAACAGTGATCTGGGTTATTGAAACATTAACTGTTATCCAGATACAAGGATCATGTTCCTTGTGTCAGGTTTAAAAAAAAAAAAAAGTCTGAGCTTAGGCTGAAATGCAGGCCCACTCATTAAACATCAAGAAATGAACGTACATCAAGCTAGGTAACAGTATGTGCGCTTACAGGCTAAATATGTGTAGGTAGCACACTACAAATTCAGTACCACTGCAGAATTATGCATTATTGGATTGCTGAGTACCTTTGTTTTTGCAAAGAAAGAAAAATGGAATGCAGGATACCTAGTCCACCCAGATAGACTAGGTAACAGTATGTGAATTTACAGGTGAAATATTAGTACACATCATACTGTGGAGTTCCATAACAATGAAAATAGTACTCCAAACATATATATATACTCCAACAAATCTTATGATAATTGTCTTTGTTGTTTGATACAGTTAATACTATGCTATGCTTTTCATATACTACAGTGCTGCAAAGCACTATGATGATTTTATTTTAGTATCAGGAGGGCTAATAGTTCAAACAGTTTTCTTCCTTGTGAGCAAGCAGTGAGGTGGGTCAGCACTGATGTGGAGGACCTTGCACAACTGGGCTATGTGGTTTCTTTCCCATGGAGCAGATGGGGCGTGTTAGTATAGCAAGGCAGAGGCAGAAATGGCTCGGGACCTTAACATAGGAATCACATCAGACTTCAGTATGAAACAATGCCAGATAATTATCTAAAATTCTTGACTTTCAAAACTTTCTTGACAGTTCAAATTTGTGTTCACTTTTTTCTTGTAGTCTGCAAAATTCCTGGTAAGCAAGTGAAAAAATTTCCTATGTTAATTCAAATACAAGTGGCAGGACCTTATCTTAAGCATGAATATCACATGATATTCAGGGGAAGACTGCTGTTTACTTTAATGATCTTTGAATCCACGTAATAATAAAATCCCATTTGAAAACACTAATTCTGAAGGGTTGATCTTTCTATTAAGACTGGGTAGCTAAATTATAAGCAAGAATTTAATGAGAATATTAATTCTGTGAAGCTATCCAGCAGACTTGGTTAGATTATTTTTTTAAATACACAAAGTAAGAGGAGGATGAGAGAATATGGAGGTAAGAACATTACTAACATGTATTATGTATTTATATGTGTATTTTAAATATATACATATATATGTATAATTAGGTGTCTATTTAAATAGAAGTATCCATATTTTTATTTTTTGCAGGTGCATGGGAAAGTTTGGGGTTCTTTTCCAGCAGAAAGATAATAAAAAAAATTCAGGCAGAAAGTGCAAACAGAAGGATTGATCAGGATGTAAGAAAGGGTGTTCTGATGATCATTCATTTCATCTAGAGGACAAAAAACATACCAAATTAATTATATTTACAAACAAATTGTGAAAAGTATGATTTCTGACAAACTAATTTGATAAAAGATCATCTTTGGTTCGTAGAGCTGCCAAAAAGTGTCAGGTGTCAAAGTGATTTCAAATAAGCTTAGCAACTTCTTTTCAACTGTACTTGAGTTGGAACTATCTGACATAGCATCTTTTGAGTTATCAGCTCTCAAAATATCTTGTTTTCTTTCTGAATGTTCTAAAAATGTTCTTTTGCATTTTTTTTCAGTCATAGCAATTCTGAGTGCAACACAATTTTGGTGTAATTTACCAATCTGTCGTGCGGCTTATGTTAGTACGTGGGAAGTAGGGACTTCATCCTCAGTTGGCATTGAGTTCAAGTGATAAGCAAGGTTAAATGCAGGTGTACGGTGTTCTCATCCATTTCCAGATTTGGTCAATATAAACCTTTTTTCCTTTTCCCTATTTATCTAGTAAGCATTTTCCTTTTATCACCTGTGCCAATGGGTTGAAATGTGAATGCTGTATAAACGGAAATTGGTATTTATTTCTTGCACTTTTAACTATTCTTCTAATGGTATGTTGCAAATGAAGGCTGATATAAAATTTTTTTTAAAAGTTTTTGCCTAGTCGAGTCTCGCTACACTTTATGTCATTGCAGTATCTTTTGTATAGCGCTCTCTTGGTACACTTCCTGGGGTGCTGCAGTGAGACTAGTTTTAATTTGATAGGACTAAAAAGGAGAGGCATTTCTTCTGTGTTTAATTTCTCTCTTCAGCATTTTAAGGAAAATGATTTGAAAGAGAACAGCCCCATTCTAGTGTTTCAATGCTTCCTAAATCTTTTGTTAATGAAGTATTCTTGATACGCTGTCTGTAGGTTGAAAATTACTGTATTAGGTATTTTCTAGCATGTGTAATTTTTCTACATGCTTGTATCACATATTTGCACCACCATAAGTACTTCTGTCTAGAAAACAATTAGATAAGCTCACATAGACTCTTAGTATAGATGCAATTATACAGCTAAAATGGTATTTTACAATACAGCTTATTTCTGTAAGAAGAAACTGATGCAAAGTATTGTAACTAGTTATACAAGCACCTGTACCACCATACTAACATCACAACTCTGCTAGAGGCTTGCATAGTCAAAACTGTATTGTGTCTCAGTTGGCTTAAATGAATTCACAGTTAATTGAATTTAAATTTGGAGGTCTTACAGGTTATTAGGTTATCAATGTAAAAAGGACACTGAAGATGTGAAATTTGGCTTTAGAGATCATCCCCATACATGGAGATACAGAAGCAGCTATGATTTTTGTTTCCTGTTTGGTTTTTTTCATTGTTCCCGCACATGCGGAGAGATAGCTCCCTGCAGAAGTTAAACATACTTCTTAGTACTAACTGGCATGATTGATTCCTGCTAGTTTGAAAGAACAGGGAGACTTAAGTTTCCATTCCATATTTAATATATAGTGGGATGAGTGGGGAGTGAGCTAGCTGTGAAGGGGGGGTGAAAGGCTTCTGAAATTTCTTTCTGAACGTGAGGGAGGGTGGAGATGGCAGTGGGAATATGACAACCCAGGTTTGCAGCTGACTGCATGTGTAAAACTGGTTTGTGGTTCTTAGAGTTTGTCTGTACGTCCCCTCCCCCCCAGTGTGGGTGTTCCTGTTGTTTTAAAAGTAGAAGCTTTCTTTATAATGAGGCGCATCTGTAAGAAAATAGGGAAGTGAGCATGAAAAGTTATAAATCGGAATCAGGGCAGATAAATGTAATCAGGTGAAGCATTTACCTATCAAGATTTTGCTGTTCTGCAGATGGTATATAATCTTCCTAAATTTAAATAATGAAATGAACATCTACTGTTGGCTTTTAACTAGGATTTTAAAAGAAAAACAGGAATACAACAAAGTTTTCTTGTTACTAGTATAAATATGAATCAATTACAAAACTTCTTTGTGGTTGACCAAATGTTACTGTGGACTGTGTCACTCCTGGAAAATAGTCCTGAATCTTCCTGCAGAGAGTCATATAGTATCCACAAAGAAAGCAGGAATAGTAATTATCCAGTTGGAGTGTGGGATAAAGAGCTTGTATTTACATATCTAATTTGTAAAGATTGAGCAAAACTATAGCCATGTATTCTGTAGCAGCCTTCTCTCACAATTCAGTTGATTTTGTATCAATAGCAACAATAAGAACTACTGTTGGGTAATACATTGCTATTGGCATCATAAGATGTTTTGACCCTGCATTAAGAATGTGTGCAGTTAAAATGGACAAATAAAAATATTCATTCTGCAGGAAATATCACATTTACCTTCAGTTCGTGGATATTTTAGGGATAAGTCAAATTTAAAAATAATTATGTTGAAAAATGAAGACTAACACATTTGTAAAACAGTACATTTTGGATTCTTCAAATGAAAATTGAGCATGGGAACCCCAGTGTTGGTGCTTCTGAAGTAGAAAGCACTAAGCTCCATATTGGACCTACTATGCAGACAAACAAGTTGGGATCTAAAAATTCTTGGTGTTTCTAGGAAAACTAGAACCCATAGTTCTGGGGGTCTCCACACAACATGCTACAGAGCCGAGGCCACAGAAAGGCAACGCAGGCAGCTGTGGTGCATATATTAAAAAGGGTGTTACAGAGCTCTTGTCAATAGCTTCAAAAAAAAACCCAAACAAAACCAACCAACCAAAAAAACTACACCCACAAATGAAAAAGCAACCCAGCATCATCCTTGCTGGAGAAGGACTTGATGGATAAAAATGGCATCTAAAGACCTAGTGAAACATGCTTCATAAAATTACTTTAATGTGACACTTTGGCATTAATTTTAAAAATTGTGGGGAAAATGCAATATCCTTCACATATAGACAACTCTCCACCTTGACATGTGAGTGAACTTCACAACAGTTCTGTCTTCATCTATATTTCAACAAGTTTGTGGAAATATGGTGCAGTTGTTCAATGACAAGGGTATGTTTATATATTCTGCATACACATATCGTGCTAAATATAAATGTGACTGACATGCTGCCTTCTGAGCTTTCCATCTGAAATTAGGACTAAGTGATAATACAACTGATTAAAAACACTCCAGCAAGTTTTCTCTCAGTAAAAAACCCAAATAAAATAAACCTTAAACAACAAACCAAAACCATTATGATAAACTTAGTATTTTGTTTATGGCACAGTTCTTAAAAATAAGTTCATCTTGCATAATACTAATGTTTTTATTAATTTAAAGTATTATAGTAATCATACCGTATCCTGCTGGAGAAAGGCCCAGATGCTTCATTCTGTTTTTCACAAGTTCAGCAAGCTCCTGTCTTTCTGACCTCTTGTAAAGGTTCATTCGCTGCTGGTTTATCTTCTCAGCTGTTTTACCAGAGTGTCTTGGTACTCTTCTGCTCAGCCGTCGGGCCCACTGCATGCTTTTTCGTCGTAACAAGGGATGATCAGACTGATCACTAGATGTTGAGTTACGATGATTACTACGGTAACTAATCTGTTCTTTGGTGTCTTTAGTGTCTTCCCATTCTTCCACACTGATAGAGATTTGAGACTTGAAAGGAAAAGGACAAGAGAGATTAAGGGCTTTAAAAAATGGAAGCAGATTAAGATGTTCTCTCCTCTTTTCAACAGTGCAGTTGAACATGTGTTTTGGTTGCAATGGAGCTGAGGGGATTCAGCTGTTCGTACTTGGAAAGTGTTCCTGAATTGGGCACCCTTTACTAGACTTTGACTTTTTATGTAAAAAGCTCATTTATGATATAAATACATTTGTCAAGCGCAAAAGCAGTTAAGCGTTATTTAGTGCCCGATTCCATTTTGATTCTGAGAACGACTCTAGCCTTCTGATACTGCCTTTCCTGAATCTAGGAATCTGTTCTGAATGACTTCTCCACTTTCTTCCAAGTCTGCATATTTTTAGAAATTCAAGTTCTGTAACTGCTTTTTGGATGTATGTTGTAGATTCATTAAGTAATAGTTCAACTTTGGCTGCACTGTTTTGAGTACTCTTTTAAGACCACAGGTGGAACGTGCCTGTTACCTGTGTCTCAAATTCCCAGCTATTTTTTACCTTCCAGCATGTAATATCTGGAATGCCTCTGTGTCTGAAAATAGGGACATATGCAGTAGCCTTCAGTGTGATTCAGGGCACCTCTTGCAAATGAGGTAATTAATTCCTACCTTAAAGTATAGTGACGTTGCTTTTTCACTTATATAGTAACAAACAAAAAAAAGCAGACTTAAGGGCCAAAATCTGGCCCTCTGCTGTGTTTTCTTCATGCCACCCAAGTATGACCAATAGTATATGCATACAGCAGTACTGAAATAATTCAAGTGGATGGGCTACGTATGCAGTTCTAACATATACAAAAAGATCATAGGGAATACAAGAGGAAATATTTCAAAAGATAACTTCAAAATTGTTTTAATGTCTATTTTACATTTAACTAATACTTTTAGGTTCTAATTTCAAAACTAATTCCTTATAATCCTGAGTTACTGTTGTGATCTTTGAAACATGTCTTTTATTGGCACTGAAATAGTGAAACCCTTGCTGGTATCAGTGCAGTCATATTACCAAGTTACTGGTGACCGATTTCAGTGTGTTAAGTGTTTAAAATAAATAAATGAAGTATAAAACAAAGTGACATAAAGTGGAGCTAGCTCAGTTTGTATGACTTCCCAAGAACACAAAGAGTTCACAATATGCTGGAAGTGATCAGTGAATAAAGCAAATTTAACTGAAGAGCTACTGAGGTTCTAAAGGCCTTTTCGCATTAATATAAAATCTGAAAGCAAGATTCTGTTGACCTCATCAGTGTTGAATACAATGTTTCTTTAAGAGGCTCAGCAGCACACAGAATCTGTAAGGTTCATGAAGTCCATAAAGTAATATTTGATATGAGTAAGTCTTGACAGTGTGAGAAAGATACTAATTTTTTCCCTTTTGCACAGACTAGCTTTTCTGTGTAAACAAACAAACCAACAAAAACAACAAACAACCCCCCCAAAACAACAACAAAAAACCTACACCAAACAACAAAACAATCAAACCCAATAATTAAAAAGAACACTAAATATGCTTATGTTGTAGCATTTCAAGTAAAATCACATTTTTAATGTTCTAGACTAGGATCTTGCAATAAGCTTCATGCAAAGACCCACTAATTTATTGAGGCTGTTCAGCGTAGTCTGCAATAGGGTTTTTTTTTTAAATTACATGATTTTTTAAGTTTTGTTAGTGACTCACCTGATTGTTATTTTGGATAGGGCATAAGAGAGAACCCTGAATCCCTGTGTACGAGAATGCTATTTGATTATTTATTTGTTTGTTACATTAAATTGACATTTTGGTTTTGCATGTACTTTACAACATGGATTAAGGTAAGCAAAGTACATCCCATATGATAATGTGCTACTTATGGATGGGAAGGGTCTATTTGGTGTGAACCAATCTGATACAAACTGAGTATAAAGGATGGTCTTGTTTTGCCTTTCTTCCTGTCTGCATTGGTAACTTTCCTTGTCCAACTCCTTGATAAAACAACCATCTGGACTTGCTGGCAGTAGTATTGGAAAGGCAGAGACCAATCATCCTAATTATTACAGGAGGGTAGGTCACATTTTTTGAGCCAGAGATGAATCAGGAGAGGCCAAGTAAAAGGACAAGTCTCTTGATTATGTGAATCTGTAAATCCTTAGCTTGAACTTTTGAAACACTGGGATAGGTGATTTGAAACCATAAATGAAGGTGATAAATATTTACTTAAGTGACTATTCAGTTTTTACGGTGCCTGTTGAGAAAGGTGTGCAGAATGGCCCTTCCCTGTATAGAATCATAGAACAGTTTGGGTTGGAGGGGACCTCTCAAGGTCATCTAGTCCAACCCCCCTGCCGTGGGCAGGGACATCTTCAACTAGATCAGGATGCTCAGAGCCCCGTCCAACCTGGCCTGGAATGTTTCCAGGGTTGGGGCATCCACCACCTCTCTGGGCAACCTGTGCCAGCATTTCACCACCCTCAGCGTAAAAAATTTCTTCCTTCTATCTAGTCTAAATCCACCCCCCTTTAGTTGGAAGCCATTCCCCCTTGTCCTGTCGCAACAGGCCCTGCTAAGAAGTCTGCCGCCATCTTTTTCTATAAGCCCCCTTTAAGTACTGATAGGCTGCAAGAAGGTCTCCCTGAAGCCTTCTCTTCTCTAGGCTGACCAACCCCAACTCTCTCAGCCTGTCTTCATAGGAGAGGTGTTCCATCCCCCTGATCATTTTTGTGGCCCTCCTCTGGACCCGCTCCAACAGGTCCGTGTCT